AATTCTCCTTCCAGGAATTGTGTGGTACCCATGGGTCTTCACATATAGGAGGAACTTGATATCAGTTACGTACAAGTGGTTTTATAGCTGTTTCATACAACCAAATCAGTTCAAATTAGTTATAATGAAAGCCAGGAACTTGACTACTGGCAACTGGATCCTCTCAATGGATCTGGCAATATGCTGACTCTACCATCTCTTCCTATCTTGGCACCATTTTTCTACTGTAATTACTTCTCAGTGGGCACATCTACATGAGATGCTATGTTGCTGTAGCAACGAGCTATGGTGATATAGCTTGTCGCTACAATGACATGTATCAGTGGGCACAAACTGTAATGCCACTGCTACTTTGCAGTAGGGTCGAAAATGACCCATGCAGCACTGGGACTGCACACTAGGGCTGTGCGAAGCTTCAGCCGCTGATTCAATTTGGTGGAGATTTGGCCCGATTTGGCAGCCAAATTTCCAAATCCAAATCGAATCAGGAGACCCTTTATTCTCTCTGAATCGAATCGGAACCTACTGAATCGATTCGGAAAGATTCAGTGATTCAGACATAGACACAGCTATACATGTTTTTTCTACATACCTCAATGTACCAGACAGCTTGTGAATGCTAAGAAGGTCGGGTGGATGGAGCATCCCATGGGAGTGCAGGGGGGTCCCCAGTGTGCTCGGCAGTGGACCTGGAAGTGGACCAGAAGCATGTACCGTCCACTTCTGGATTCATTGTGAAGTGTGTGGGGGTTCAATGACTGGTGCCTCCTGGGTCTGGGGGTGGGCACCCAGGGTCCCTCCTCGGCTGATCACCGAGCCAAGACGGCGTGGGGTGGGTCCCCCATGCACTCAGCAGCAGACCCAGAACTGGACTGGAAGTATTTCCAGTCCACTTCCAGGTCCACTGCCGAGCATGTGGGCCCCCCCCCCCCGTGCTCCTTGGGGGGGCTCCCTCCCACTCACCCCCCCCCCGGCCTCCGTTGGGAGGCTCCATCCACCTCACCATCTCAGCATTCACGAGCTGCACCTGGAACCTCGAGGTATGTAGAAAAAACATTTAAAGATGTGTCTATGGGTGAATCACTGATTCTCTGAATCAGCGTCGAATCTTCAGATTTGGATTCGGACAAATTGAATTGGGCCAGTGATCCGAATTAATGAAGTGAAACACTGTCCCTCTAATCAGGCCAAATCTGAATTGAATATGGCCCGCTTCGCACACCCCTACTACATCGTACTGGTGTTTACTGTGCAGTCATTTAGTACTTGCTAAAGCTAAAGCAAATACTAAATGACTGCATAGTAAGAACTGCGCAGTCGGGTGCACATGTAGACATGCCTAGGAACCACCTCTTTTAATGATGTCATTAATGAGCTGTTTAAAGGCAATTCTGGGGAAATCAAGAAGCGACCAAGTGAGGAATTATGGTGTAAGAAGCATGTTGAATCAGGATAGGTGGAAGCCCAAGTAGAAAACAAAAGATGATGTGGTTTAGACACATGAAAATACTGATGAAAAACTGCATGGAATATTGAGCAGGCATACTGAGGGCAAGGAGCCAAGGGGAAGACCATGGAAATGGTGGAATGATGAGGTGTAGAAAGTACTTCACTAGAACATTACCATTTATTTTACTTAGTCCACACCTCTGTCAAGGCTGGACCTTCATTATAAAAACTTTTCAGTCTAAATAGACATGACAACAAAGGATGGGAGGGAAAACAGGGCAGTGAATGAGTTGCTTAAGAATTCATGGCAGGCCATTGGAAAAGGAGGGGTAGAGTTCAGCTTCTCACTCTTGATTCAGTGCACAACTCACTATACCATGCTGCCTCTTGTTCTTCTATGCTAGAGGTCAGCAACATATAGCCCATGGAAGCATTTGATCTGTCCTTGGATGTGGGCTTTGGTGGCATTTGGAAGTGGAGGTCCTTGGCAGAAGTTGCTTTCCCATGCAACTACAACGCTGCAGGCACTCTTCTTGTGCCACCACAGGGAAGAGTGGCTATAGTGGCTCGGTTCTAGTGTCTGTGAACTGCCCTGCCTCTGACCCAAACTGGGTCACTCCAACGCACAGTCTAAAAATGTTGCCAACTGCTGTTTAGGCATTATACTCCAGTCAATATGCTGGTATTTTAGGGCCCTGCCATGAGACTTTTTACAAATAAACAGTGAATACTTCCAATTCATTAATGATCTGCATGCTAAGGGCATGATTCTTTGCTTGCCTAAGCAGAACTCAGATTGAGGAAGGGGTGGGGAGCACAAAGAACTGATTGTGGTTCACTGGTTTGTAGGTGTTCAGCTTAGAAGCTACAGTTGCATAGACACAACCCAGTTTATGCCCTACCCTTGGAGAGTTTTGCAACCCTATTTACCCAGCCTGCTTTGAAACATCTAACATGTTTCTGCCATTCCTTTTTGCCAAGATGGCAGCAATAGAACCATCTCCACCAGATTTGTGTCAGAATGAGTTCCTGTATACGAGACATCTCTGGCCACTATAAGGATATTTGGCACTTAGCACATAAGAGAACTCCTGAGACTTATTCAATGAAGAAATTCATAAATCACAAAACAGTTCGGAATTAAAAAAAATATATATTGTAGAAAAAAAACAAACAATAACAACCACAAGGTAAACCTCACTAATTACAAACTATGTAATCAAATACAATGGAAAAGATTGGCTCTTACACAAATCCTTAGGAGCCCACAACCAACTTCTTACATAGCTGAAGAGTGGCTGTTTTTATCTGTTCTTTCTTTTTATTTTCTAACTAGCTTATGATCAGTCACACAATCTCATTAGATGGTTACAAAACTATTAAAAGCATCTCGTAAGGACTTTATTAACATTTTCTGGATAGGTCAAAATAAATTATACATATCCACTCTGCTTCAGCTTTGCTAATAATCTGCAGATTTTGTTCCTTATTATATTAGATAGGCTTACACCATAGAACAGTGATTCTCAAATAGGTTGCTGTGGGGTGCCACACAATGTTAGCACTGTTAGGTGTGCAAACATAATTTACAAGATAAACCCAGAGGTTTCAAATAGGAATCCATATAGTGTTAAAAACTTTCTGACCTGTTGTAGTCTTCCTGAGTTTTTTTTTACAACAGAAGAAGCGCTCTATTATTTTTCTGCAGTCAACAAATAAGTAAAAGGTATGAGCACCTAATGAGGGGTGCCTTGAATCCAATGAGGGGTGTTTTAAGTCTAAAAAGGTTGAGAACCACTGCTATAGAAACTGTGGTAAACCTTGCTCTTCCTTCTGTAACCTTCGGGACCCTGAATTTATAGGGCTAAGCTGTCTTGGCTGGCACTATAGAAACAATCCAATTTGCAGTGTATGGCATAAATCAGTGGAGAACTATGATTTACAGGCATAAGGGTGCAGTACAAATTATATGATTTTTTTTCTATATCTTTACAAAGGTATTTTCTGTACTTCAACTCTATGAAATCATCAGGTATAGCTAGATTTTGGGCTGGTACAAAACTAGATGAAAGTTTCATGGGGGGAGCCTGATTTATCCCTATTGTTATGACTGTGTGTAGTGCAAACCATGTTAGGTACTACAGGCACTAGTAACTATGGAGAGAAAAGCCATCATCAAAATTATTATTATTTGTGTTACAGTAGGATGGAGAGGTGTCAGTCATGCCTGGGGCCCTGTCATGATAGGCATTAGACAAACACTGTTCTGTTATAAAAGAAAACATAAAAAAAGTGGCAGAGGAAATTAAGACTCTGAGTAGTTGGCCCAGTGTTACCCAGTCACTCACACTGCAGAACTGGGACAGAATCCTACTTTCCTGTGTCCCAGCCCAGTGTTCTGCCCATCAGACCTTATTTAGCTTTCTAAATAACCTTATGAGCTGATTTCTGCAACACAGAGTGGAGCTGTAACAAACTTTCACCTCTGCTGATCATCACCCAACCATCTAATGTAATTATTGTTCTTCAAGCTAAATTTCTTTTAATAGTAGCTCAGGAAATTTATGCTTTGACTCCTTCAGAAGTTTCAGATAAATTGCCCAAACTTTTGGAAATGTACTTCTAAGGTTTTGAAGCCAGCTCTAATTAGCTATGAGCCTGATTGCCAAAATCAGGACTGAAACTGATTGCTTGTTCTTTGTAGCATTATGCTGGAAAAGCAACAAGAAATACATATTTGAAATAAGTCTTCTGGTAGTTCAGTAAGTGAAGATCGTTGAGAGCCAGGCCAACTATTAAATAAATGAATGGCTTCTACACAGGCTAGACTCAATAGATGGTTTGCCTATGTGGATCTGCTGGCTTAGTGCTTTAAAAACGGAAATATTCCTTAATTAAATCAAACATTCTCAGACGAAATATTTTAAGATAACTATTTCCAGTAAATACCTCTGTTTTATGTATGTGAAATAATCAGTACTGAGTACACCATAGGCTAGAGTTTTAAAGTTCAGGGGTTTCTCTGTGGGGTAGCAGGGAAAGGATTTGCAGACGTGCAGATATTCATATACGACTTCCTTCACTGAAATGTCTGTAGCTGAAGTGAAAAGGAAATTAAACTGGGATTCCATTGTTTAGAAGTGAAAGTGCAAAGGTTCAGGACTAAATTAAAATAACTCTAATTTTGACTCATAGGCAATGTACTTAAGAGCTTCCCAGTGAGGACATCATATTTATTTGGTGTTTATGTTTTAGTTTATATTGTTTCAGTTATTTAAGTAAAACAGTTACACATATCTAGTATATGTGTAGCCATATTTATGATATGCGGGACAACCTTTGTTAACTCTTCATTTAAATGATGTCATGGCAGCCTACTAGTTTTCAAACTAGAATTTCCTCCATTATAATTCTATAGACTCAATTCTGCAGACTCTTACGCACATGAATAAATGCATACTTGTGTAAACCCACTAAATTTAGAGGGATTACTTAGAACGGAAACTAGCACATCCATATTTCACATTGTTTGCCAAACCTCATTCTTTCAGGGTTTTCAAAGCTTCCTTATCAAGAAGAGGGCTTCCTTGGAGACATAGGATTTACTGAAGGCAATGGAGCTGGGGTGATTTATGTCAGCTGAGGATCTATCCCCCAAATATTATCTTTGTGAATATACAGTAAGTTTGATTTATTCAAAACTTGAAAGAAAACTTGCATAACTTTGTGTACTGTGTACCTCCTCTGTGTTTACAGCTGAGATTAACTTAATTTTTATTTGCTGACTATGCTCTCCACACTGAGACATGAAATGTTGATGTGTACAGTAGTATCATTTTAAATGATGTGTCTTGGTTATGCTTTTTGTTTATGGTCCATTACTATACGATTTGAGTGGAACTATATGATTATAGACGTAAGTTGTCATGCAAATGGACTAATTTTGTTCCATTTCCCATTCTCCTTACTGTCCTTGTCAATAGGATGGATAAAGCTTGTGCTGTGTTCTGCTCCTGATAGACTTGCAAGGCTGTCATCAGAGTGGATTAATCTTGTGCCTGTGTTATCACAAAATTCTCTGTCCTAACAATGACTTATCATTGAATTTAAAGCCCAATATACTTTATACTCAATCTGTAGTCTTAGGCCTGCAACAAAAATTGTAATGAGATCTAAAAATGGTACAAAACTAATCCATTCTTATCAGGATTTTAAAATTGTAATTTCATGGTCTTCCTTGAATGCAGTATAGTATTTAAAGCCTCAGATGAATGTGGTAAAATAACATTGGAAACTTCAAACTTTAAATGTCACTTAAAGTAAACTTTCCAATTGTTTAATTAAATAATGACAACTATAGCCCTATGTATTTCCAGCTTAATTGCCACAAAATAAATTCTTTCAATAAAAGCCATCTTGAAGACAGAATATTGCCCTTAAGGACAAAAAAAAATGTTTAAATTAATAATAACAGCAGGACCTAAACGTAGAAAAACAAAAAATTTAGAATTACAATTTCAACATCTAATCCTTTAACCCTCCTCCTTATGCTGGTATTTTTTTCATTGTTAAATCAATGCATGATGTTACATGTCACTTTAATTCTTTAAGTATTTATACATATAAATCCACATTATGGGGGAAAGTTTCTTCAAATATTGCTTTAAAATATTTTTATATTATGTGTGCAAGGTGCTAGGTAAAACTACAAACATTAATGCCTTTTGCTTTCCTGCACAATGTTTTAGAGACATAAGTGAAATGATTTAAATCAGATTAGCTTTCCAAAATATTCTTCTGAACTGAGACCGTGCATATCAAATTTTAGGTATTGTATTGCTTTGCTTTTTAGTCAGCCTTGTTGTAGGTCAAAAAGGATGAAAAATTGCACTCTATTTATATAACACATCAACCTATAATTAGGCCCCCACAATCTGCCTAATTTTCAGCTGACTCTCAAAGAAATATTGAATGTGTAAATGTAGAATATTGTCATATTTGAGGAAGAAGCTGTTTTCTCTAAAATTGAACTTCAAAATGTGGGTTGAATTATGTACAGGGTGGATACAGTATCTTGAATTGATATGAGTGAATTGCATCTATGGCTGTTACAGTGGGTTAATTTGTTCATTTTCAGTGCAACAAATTAGCTATGAACTGAAGTGCATCCACACTATAAATTCGAGGTAAGTTCCTTATTAGTCATTGTGTCTACAGATCTCTGAACTTGCTTGAATTGACTCTGCCACTTTCTGAATCTACCCAGGCTGCAATATTCACCACTCAGTTTTTGGCTAATTCTTGCAGTCCACAGGGAATGCCTACTGGAAGCTGCTGGAATTCGGGGACCTTGGAGTCAAACAAAGAAACTGCCAAGAGTCATCTCTCTTCATCCTACCGTTCATTTGTATTTTCCAGCTACTTTTTTGAACTGCCGTTAGGCAGCCTGGAGGCTACATAGCTCAGTGGCATATTTTATACAAACAGGGTGATGTACATGTATTGGTAGTCACACAGCCAGATGGATTTGGCTTGGTGTCTTCAGAGGACTTTGGATGCCACAGCAATAGAGCAACAGATAGAGACCAGGGAATAAAATCAAGCAGTTATTTCTGCAGGGCATTTCTCTGAAGCAGCTTCATTCAGACAAGTGCCACTTTTCCACTTCATTACTATCAGTGAGAAAGAATAGTAACACAGAACTGGGAGAACCAAAAAAGGTTTCCTGAAATAGAAGACTGTGTGAAGAGCTCATCCTGGACCTGCAATGGAAGAAGACAAACATAATACCTCCCCTCAAGGTGGAGAAGTGCGATTTCATCACCAACTCAGATTGTGGTACTAGCTAACCTGTTTGGAGTTGCATCCTCTGTTGGATGTTTTTCATGGAGGTTTTCTGGAAGAGATTACTGAAGACAATACATGGGCTGGGTTCCCTAACCCCACAGGTGCTACTGTTAAGACACATGCATATTTTTAGTTTCCTCGTACCATGTTACCATTCCGTTGGCTTAATTTTTGGTGAATTATTTTTGATGCATAAACTGTAAATGTGGATAGGAACTCGGCTGCTTCTTCTTTTGTGTGATATTTTAGGATTATTATTTTCATAGATTAATATCTAAAATTAATAACCATTCCACTGCTTCAGGGGTACCTGCATGGATTTTAGATCACCATTAAACAATCTAATTGGACAATCGTTCACAATGTGTTGCACTGTCTGAAAAATTGCACCACAATCACAACCTGGACTCTCTTTAATTCTTCATTTATTAAGTGTCCACATTTTCCATGAAGTGTCTGGATGTGATTCAGGGAGGACCAAATCTTTCTTGGTAGCTGAAATCCTGGCTGGAGGATTGTAGGATCTGCTGCCATGCATTTCTGCAGCAGGTTAGTATTTTCCCAGGCTTACCTTCATTGTTCTTCGGTGCTCTTGTTATCATCATAGCACTTCGTGGCATATTTCCAGAAGAGTTTTCTTGAGCCTATCTGGCAGTGGCATGGTGAGGTCCTTGTTGTTTGGTAGGTTTGGGTTACCGATAGACTTATGGTATTCCCTCAGGCATGTAGCATCACAGTGGGTCTGTGAGGGAGCAATGCTCACTAGGGCTGAAAGCCATGGCAATGGCATAATTTTTAGAGGTCCTGATATAAACTGCATAGCTGCATTTAACTGTGTATCAACAATTGTTGTGTGCACGCTTTTGTTCCAGACTGGGAGCAATAATCTGCTGCAGAAAAAAAAAAAGTGCTAGAGTGGCTGTTCAAAATATGGTTGCATTTGCTCCCCCTGTTGTTAGAGCTAGTTTACGCACAAGGTTAACTCACTGTAACAGGCTGGGGTCCCAGGGGTGGCTGTGATGCTCCCTGGCGGCTCTGTGACTGTAACCTGCTCCACCCCTAGGGCACTCTCCTGTCTCTCTTGCCATGCCTTGATGGTATTTATAACATATGGGGCAGCCGCCCACAGGCCTTTGCTAGACTTCAGTCTCACTGGTCCCACGTCCCTAGCTGGGCCTCTGTAGTCAACTGTGGCTCGCAAATCACCCAAACCCTTAAGGACTAATTACGTGGCTTCAAATCCTCTCCTTTACCACACCCCATACCTCATGGGTGTTACAGATATGTCATTCCCTTTACTGGGGCTTTGGCCTCCTCGGCCTCTGCCCCTTTAATATATTTAGGCCTTCTAGCCTAGGCCCACTGACTCAGACCTGGCTTTGAGGAACTAGCTTTATTTGTCCATTCCAGTTACGGGGCCCCTGGCTCCTGTCTGGGAGGTGGAGGCCTCATTAGTGCCCAAAAAGGGTGCAGCCACACAGGGGTCAGGGCACCAGCAGACAGGAGCCAGGGGCCTGGTAACTGGAAGGGATAAATAAAGCTGTAGAAAGCAGCCCTCTGTCCCTTTATGAGGGCAAATCTTCCTTCTCCCCTTATAGATTCATAGATGTTAGGGTCGGAAGGGACCTCAATAGATCATCGAGTCCGACCCCCTGCATAAGCAGGAAAGAG